ATTAGCCCATTCATTAAAGTCAGGAAGGCTCCCTGTTACATTGCTGTTACTTTAGAGACAACACCATTAGCCCATTCAGTGAAGTCAGGAAGGTTCCCTGTTACATTGCTGTTAACTCTAGATACTATATCATTGGCCCATTGAGTGAAGTCAGGATATTCTTTACCAGCAATAACTCCAGTAGTAGCTGTACTGGTACTGGTAGCATCTCTAGCAGCCAATTGAACCAGTGATAAACTAAGTATTACGACCAGTAGCAATACAACGAGACACAGCAGTATAGCAATGACAACCAATGGTTTGCTCCAGGTTGACTGCTTTGATGTAGTCTCCATAACACCTCCTGTTGATTGATGATTGCTATCATTCCTCCTTACATCAGTATTGAAATAAACCAGCTCATAAGGATTCTCTTGTACAGGAGCTAGTATCTCATGCTCTCCCTTTCCTTCCATCGTCTTCAACACAAAGAAATTTACTGTTGTACTTGTGGTATAAATGTAGTAGATGATATCACATTTGGGGTTCCAGCTAAGGAACTATACTATAAACATAATTATTTGATGTAACTTTAAACTACTCAACTACGTACATACAAGTGTATCTCCTTACCACATCAAATTAAATTTGTAGATTCTAAGTATTGAGCCATTTTTGATGTGGTAAAGAGATACACTTGTATGTACGTAGTTGAGTAGTTTTAATTTGTATCAAATAATTATGTTCATAGTATAGTTGCTTAGCTGGACCTCCAAATGTGATAAACTGATTATTTATGAGTGACTTTAAGCTTCAAAAAATAATAATATTATTGTTAATGGTTAACCTCAAGCAGATATCTCAGTCCTCAGGTATTACATTACTTATACACACACACACCTCCAGACAGGCTGGACTCTTAATGTATAAATTAAATGCAGTTAGTATTTAATGTATGTACTATTCTATTTCATTACTTTATGCATTATAGGTACTCCTTGTTGATAAACTGATTGATCCAGTTGAGTTAGACTTCCTTTTAAGGTTCCCTTGTGTACCTAATGTCACTAGTCCTGTTGACTTCCTCTCACATAACTCATGGGGAGGGATCAAATCATTATCTGGCATGGAACAGTTCAGGAACCTTGATAGAGACATTGAAGGTAATACAGTCAGATAAGTTACATGTTTATGTACATGCACCTTTAGTCAATTTTAAGTGTTAATTTAAAATTGAAGTGGCATGAATTTACAACTGTAAATTTATACTAAAATCAAAAGATAATACTTGAATAAGTTAAATTATAGTTGAGTCAAGCCTCTAGTATATGTATATGTACATCAAAAATGGTAAAGTTAATACTCATTAAAAGTGGACACTATAAACACTAATGATATAGTGTCACATTGGCTTGTGTAATAATTCTAGGGTCAGCTAAAAGGTGGAAGAAGTTTGTTGACAGTGAGATACCAGAGAAAGAGAAGTTCCCTGGAGAATGGAAGAACAAGACCTCACTCCAGAAACTCTGCATGATGAGGGCACTCAGACCAGACAGGATGACATATGCAGTAGTGTAAGTTACATACTACACTATATTGTACTGCAGTAGTGTAAGTTACATACTACACTATATTGTACTGCAGTAGTGTAAGTTACATACTACACTATATTGTACTGCAGTAGTGTAAGCTACATACTACACTATATTGTACTGCAGTAGTGTAAGCTACATACTACACTATATTGTACTGCAGTAGTGTAAGTTACATACTACACTATATTGTACTGCAGTAGTGTAAGCTACATACTACACTATATTGTACTGCAGTAGTGTAAGCTACATACTACACTATATTGTACTGCAGTAGTGTAAGTTACATACTACACTATATTGTACTGCAGTAGTGTAAGCTACATACTACACTATATTGTACTGCAGTAGTGTAAGCTACATACTGTAGCTGGTAATTTGGAGGGGAGAAATTTGGTATTTTGGTATTCATTTGCCATTATAAAACCCACCATTTTGAACCATTTATAAGCACATGGACACAAATTTGCCAAATTAAAACCTACCAATCACCAAAAATCTAATAATTCACCAAAATTCTACCTGTCCAAAATTATCAGCTAAGTTATAGATAAACTAACACCTGAGTGTATATCCAGTAACACGAAACAGCTGTAGTTTATCTGGTTTGTACTACAGTGTGTGGGTGTATGAAAGGCACTGTCGTCTAACTACCAGAATTGGCAGTTAGATGATGGCTTCTAACTATGCTTCTAACTACCCCTGCTGTGGTCTACACTATATAAACTCTTGGTGGTGCCTTTGATACACCCACATACTGTAGTACAAATGTATATGCATGTATATGGTATGGTATCTCCTACATCTGTAACTGTTCTATGTACTATGCAATATTTTGATCATTATTTACAGAACATTTATTGAGGAGAAGCTTGGCACAAAGTATGTGGAGAAGAGAGATATTCCATTTGAAGTCTCCTACCAAGAGAGTGGTCCTGGTACACCAGTCTTCTTTGTCCTCAGTCCTGGAGTGGACCCTTTAAAAGATGTTGAGGCCTTGGGAAAGAAAATGGGATTTAGTTTGGACAATAGGAACTTTCACAATGTATCCCTAGGACAGGTAAAGATTATAATCTCATCTATTTGTACATGAAATAATGTAAAGTGTACATTATATCTACTTATTCGTATCAAGGTTATATTAGAATGTGTCTTTTTAAAATAATCAAATTATGCTATGCATGTACATGTGTAGGGTCAGGAGGTTGTAGCTGAGAATGCTCTTGATGTTGGTTCTCAAGAAGGTCACTGGGTCGTACTTCAAGTAATAATGATAATAATAAATACCTCAATGGCTTATAATATCAAATGTATGTACATGTACATAATATAGAATATTCATCTTGTTGCAAAATGGCTGCCAAAGCTTGAGAAGAAGATAGAGCAGTACAGTGAGGGCAGTCATGAGTCGTATAGAGTCTATGTATCAGCTGAGCCTGCTGGTGACCCCAGTGCCCATATAATACCTCAAGGTATTCTGGAGTCGAGTATTAAGATTACTAATGAGCCTCCTACTGGTATGCTGGCTAACCTTCATAAAGCACTGGATAATTTCAATCAGGTCAGCAGTATATGCATACAGGAATAAAGATGTTTGAATGTGTAATTTTTGATCAGTATCAGCTCAAACTTTCTACACAAAATTAGAACATGCATATATGTATCAGAAAAAAATTGTAGAATTGGAAATTCTCACCTTTTCATTTTTGGCAAAATTTTTATTGTAATGTTATATAGGATACTCTTGAGATGTGTTCACGTGAGAATGAGTTCAAGAGCCTCCTATTCTCCCTCTGCTATTTCCATGCTTGTATTGTTGAGAGACGTAAGTTTGGGCCTCAAGGATGGAACAGATCATATCCTTTCAATACCGGCGACCTCACTATCAGTGTATCTGTCCTTTATAATTACTTGGAAGCTAATTCTAAAGTATGTGTCACTATATACTAACTGACTCAATGGATACACTGTATAGGTACCATGGACTGATCTTCGCTACTTGTTCGGTGAGATAATGTATGGTGGTCATATTACTGATGATTGGGATAGGAGACTCTGTAAGACCTACCTTGAAGAATTCATGAAACCTGAACAAGTAAGTACATGTACAACAGTACAATAATTCTTTGAAAACATGAGCTAAAAATAGCCTAAAATTGACCCGAATTCCCCACAGAAATGGACAGTTTTATTAGTACATTTATACTTAGCATGCTATGTAGATTTTCATCATTGTATTTATATACCTCTACTTGTAGTTGGATGGTGATCTTCTCTTTGCTCCTGGTTTCCCCATACCTCCTAACTCAGACTACCAAGCCTACCACACTTACATTGATGATGTACTCCCCCCGGAGAGCCCAGTACTATATGGACTCCATCCTAATGCTGAAATCGGATTCCTAACCACTACAAGCGAGAATCTATTCCGTACTGTTTTTGAAATGCAACCTCGCGATTCCTCTAGTGGGGATGGGGCTGGAGCTAGCAGAGAAGAAACTGTGAAGGTTCTTCTTGATGAGATATTAGAGAAACTACCTGAAGCTTTCAATATGGCCGAACTGTCAAGCAAAGCAGAAGAGAAAACACCATATGTGCTGGTGGCTTTGCAGGAATGTGAACGTATGAATATGCTGACTAAAGAAATGAGGAGATCTTTAAAAGAAGTTGATCTTGGATTAAAAGTAATTTTAAAACTGACAACAGCTTGAGCCCACTTGTAACTGAAAATTAGTAGGGATTTTCTAAAAAATTAACACAAATTGTGTAGCTAAATTTAGAATTGTAAAAGTATAGACAACAATAGTTTTGTAGTACTTAGTTTCATCCTGATTATTATTATTATTATTTTTTTATAGGGAGAGCTGACCATTACTGCTGACATGGAGAACCTTCAAAACTCACTCTTCTTTGGTACTGTACCTGATAACTGGACCAAAAGAGCCTACCCATCAATGAACAACCTAACAGCTTGGTACGCTGACTTGCTTCAGCGCATTCGTGAACTGGACTCATGGGTCTCCGATTTTAACATGCCACCTTGCATCTGGTTAGCAGGCTTCTTCAATCCTCAATCATTCCTCACAGCCATCATGCAGTCCATGGCTCGTAAGAATGAATGGCCTCTTGACAAGATGTGCTTGCAATGTGACGTCACTAAAAAGAACAGAGAAGATTTTACTAGCCCCCCACGTGAAGGAGCATACGTCCATGGACTATTCATGGAAGGAGCTCGCTGGGATATACAGACCAGCTTATTACAAGAGGCAAGACTTAAGGAACTGACTCCTTCAATGCCTGTGATGTTCATCAAGGCAATAATAGTTGATAAACTTGATCTGAAGAATATGTATGAGTGCCCTGTGTATAAGACAAGGCAGAGGGGACCCACTTATGTATGGACCTTCAATCTAAAGACCAAGGACAAACCAGCCAAGTGGGTTATTGGAGGAGTCTGTCTTCTACTTAGCATTTAAACTATAGCATGAGAACTATTAGTTGAACTATAGTATCACTTATCATTTAATAGGCATTTAAACTAGTGTCACTAATAAATAGCTTTAGTTGAACAATTAGTATTAGGCATTACTTTGAACTGGTAAATACAGTTGTAGTATCATTATTAAAATAGAATTAAAAACAGCATTTACTAACTGTGAACATTTCAATGAATATTAAGAATGCAATGTACTATACTGTTCATAGAAGGTGTTAATCTGTGATCATTCATTCATGACATCTGGGAGCTCTTTGTCTCTAGTTTCCATTTTTAAAAACAGCGAGATACATAACTGAACCAAAAAGAAGCACCCCCATATTGTAGGGGAGAGCCAAGTGTAAGTATTTGATAAGCTAGCCAGGTATCCACTAGCAAATGGTAGCCATACTCCATTGACACTGCTTGATCCTGTCATGAAGGCCATTGTCATTGATCTAACGTTAGTCGGGTATGATTCTGATATTGATGTTAACAAGAGTGTATTTATGGGGACCATACCAAAGAATATAAATACAATAAATAGGGAAGTACCCACTTGACTTTGATGTACAAAGGCCAATAGAAAGAAGGAGAGCATTGTAAACCCACTGAATAATCTTAGTGTGTTTATTCGACCAAATTCAGGCCATTCGACAATTATTGCCATTAGTAGTATACCAGGAATTTGTGCAGTGAAGCCTGTAAAAGTCACAAAATAAGGATCTATCCCAAAATTAATGAGTAATGTAGGGAGGAATAATGTTGATCCATAGTAGGCCAAGTTTTGTGTGTTGTATATGAACAAATAGCAGAGCGTAGTCTTTAAATAAGGTGCCTTGAATATTTTAAAGAATAATTTTACTTGTGTGGACCACTGACTCTTTTGATGCCGAAAATTTTCAAACTGCAAGTTATGATTGCCGTTGATAAATTGCTCTCTGCTGGTGAAAGATTCTATATCCTTCCTGTTCACTTTTGCTATCAATGACAATGTTTTCCATGCTTTCTGTCTATTATTAACATTGATCAAATACCGTGGGCTCTCAACCCAAAACAGCAGCCTATAAAGTACAACAAACAAAGATGGTATACTCGTAGCAAGTATGAAATACCTCCAACCATTAGCGTAATTTGATACCAGCCAATAGGCTAATCCTCCTGTTACACATGAACCGATTGCACGAACAAACCCAGTCAATAGTGTCACTTTCCCTCTGTATCTAGTAGGCAGGAACTCAATGAGCATTGGGTGTACTATTGCAATGATTCCACCAACTCCCAATGAAGCAATAAACCTCAGGCTGACCAGCATTAGGAAACTCTTGGAAAGTGCTGACAAAGCCACAAATATGTGGATCACTCCCATGCAAGTTGCATAAGGCCAAATCCTTCCATACCTGTCGGACAGGTAGCTGAAGATGAGGCCTCCTATGATATTCCCAACACAAGTTGATGCTGGTAAAATGGCAAAGGTGACATCACTGAAACTCCATTCCTCTGTGACCTGTACACTGATGAATGTGAATGTCAATGATTCACAGGCATAAGCAAAGTACGTCATTCCAGCGAGCAGGAACACCAGAACTTGAAAGGGACCCAGTCCTATACTTTGTAGAAGAGTCTCTATAAGAGGATAATGGCTGGTAGTCCTGCATCTTGTCATTTTGTCAAGCAAAAAAATAGTAAAGTGACGCCTATACTGCAGTGAAAAAAAAATAAAAAAGGGCCTGTCCGGGATTTGAACCCGGGACCTCTCGCACCCAAAGCGAGAATCATACCCCTAGACCAACAGGCCCACATTGCAAACAAAATGCGTCATTTATAGTAATTATACGTTGCCGTAACCACATCATTCACCATACATGTTACATGTCCATTAATAAAGCACACAAACATTACACAACGACACTAGTCTACATTTCAAAATCAAATATTAAAGATTCTCTTCTTTGAACGATAGCACTTGGAGAATAGCAGTCAGTCTCAGATTCATCATCTGAAGTAGCCCTTGAGTCCAACAGTAAGTGGAGAGCATCTTCATGACTCTCAGTCCTACTCTTCTTAGCGCACCAGTACCAATAGGATGGGAACCTTTTCTTTATAGCAATATGAGTGTGAGCAATAATCGTGAGCAGGAACAACACTAGTGATATACTTACTGATACTCCAGTCAAGTATGGATTAATACCCCACTCCAAGTGATTGGAGAGCATTGTTAGGAGGCTCAACATTAATATATTCACAATATAAATTAACTCAATGCGACCTACAATAGTTTCTCTGTATATGCCACCACTGGATAGCCATATAAGGATGCCACAAAGCACTACTATTATAAAGTCATTGAGGTGTATTGCAGATCCAGTGGTATAGGAAAATATTGATGCAATCAATGCACGAGATACCAATAGAAGTCCTGTCCAGAAGCGATACTTGTCTTTAAAAGGGCCAGTATAAGCATCAATCAATGGCTTTAGTTTAAACATAGGGTCAGTCCTGCAGCATATCTTGCAATTGAGGCGCTGCAGCCATTGAGAGGAGAATACTAGCCCAGTATAAATCATCCCAACTAATAGGAATACCACTGACATCAGGAAGAGGATGCTGTGCTTAAAACTAAAGTACTCTATGTTTGCATCAATGCTCCAGACGTGATGAGTGTATTTGTCACTGCATTTGATGCTACTGAACATCAGTGAGCGTGTTACTGATCGAAGTATCTTAGAATAGGACATGAGTATGAGTGTTGCAAGGACCGGTACATTGTTGTTACCAAATATTCTTGAGAGCCTACCAGAATAATGAGACCCAATTATAATGGCCCCCACTATGAGCCATATGTATACTGGGAATACAAATTGGAGCCAAGTCTTCCAGTAGCCATCCAGCCCATCAATAAAACAAGTTTCAATGCCTAGGTCAAGATTGAGCCATGATATGAATTGACTTAGAACTGGTAGATTTGCATCGTTTGAGTAAAATGTGATTGCATTCAATTTGAAGGTATTTGCATAAAACAGTAAGCCATTGATGCTTCCAACAGATACAGTTAAATTAGTAACTAGTAGAAATGCAACTAGTGCCACACCAGCCACAATGAAAACCAGGATAAGAGACAAGTATTTATTATTGCATTTGTAGCATCTGTTTGAACCCAACATGAGACTGAGTCCAGTGGAACAGCTACCACACAATGTTCCTGATCTATTCTGTGTACATTGAGTATCAGGGTCATCAATGCTAAGATATGTTTCAGTAGTCTTGCAGTAATTGACGGGACAATTTTCATGAACAATGGTGCAATTGTAGTCTTGATCATAGTAGATCCATCTGTTTTGTGACTGGCGAATAGGATACTCTGCCCATGAGACATTGCACTGGATATCCTCTGCTTTCTCAAGAGCAGGGTCACAAACACACTCACCTGATTTCAACTGAAAACCATGCGGACAGCTGAGAAACTTTATATGAACAGTGAGAGGTGAGTCATCAAAATAATAAGAAGATCCAGTAGTGCCTATCGTCATAAAACTATTATCAGTTTCTTGTCCAAACTGTTTCACAGTGTATGAAAAATTCTTGCACTGCGTTCCTGTCTCCTGTTTTGAGTTGCCTAGTGTCACATTGACACTGTTAGTTTCCATTGTTAATACGCTAGGACTGATACCACCACACATGCCAACAGTCACCAGTGAGAGATATACTCTACCTCCAGGATACACTTCCTTCTGTATTGATCTACTGCTACAGTTAACACCATTAGCTTCAGTACATGTACACACACCATATGGATTGGAAGAAATAGCAGATGAAATGGGCTTTGAAAACTTATTGAGTAGCGGGGTTGATTCATTACAGTCTAGAACATCAAAAAATGAATCAATGTCATTATTTTTCCTACATTCAAACACATTTCCACCATACACATCATTCCCAGCCACTATTGCAGTATTGTTGGTAAAATGAGCTCGTAGCAGTCCAGTTTGACATGCAGGGACTCTAAAAGGATACACCTCACGTAGCAGACTGTATGACTCAGAATATATACCACCTCCTTTAACTGCTGTGTTGTTAATAAGCTCCACTACACCTCCTTTATTTGATATGGTCTTTGCTGAAGATTTGTTATCAAGCCAAATTCCACCACCATTGTGTGGTGAGGTGTTGTTAGCAATGATACTAGCATCATTACTGAATACTAGTTCACACATGATGCTCAGCACTCCTGTCATCTCATTGCCGATCACTTTCAAACCTGATATCTTAACTTTCCGTCGATTTAAATGAGAGCAGTAGCACAATAAAGAGCTGTAGTGATTATCATAATCACTAGCATGATTATACGTGTTACTAAAAATAGCAACATTGTTTAATTCAATGTTTACAAACAAGCTAACAATCAGTAATCCTCCTCCATAGCTTGCAGTATTCCTTTCAAAAACACTGTCACATATTGTAAGCGGAAAACACTTCGTCTTACGTTCGCATTGGACTTCGACGTAAGCTCCACGACCAGTATTACCACTAACATTTAATTTGTGCAATGAGACAATATTTGAGTTTAAAGTACTCAACGTTAATCCACTTGCTACAGGTAGTGAGTCACCTCTTGAGAAGTTATTAGCAGAGAATGTAGAGCCAGTGATGTACACGTTAGTTAAAATTGTCTTTATATTGAGGCCACCATTAGGTGCACTGTTATTGAGGAAGCTGCAGCGAGTGATTTGCACAGTGCTGTATTCCTGATAGTCTCCAGTAGTGCAGTTAGTTGTTGTGTTCTCTGTGCTATTAATGTCAATGTATAGTCCAGCCAGTGTATGTAAACCAGTGGAGAAACTAGTGTGTGTTACATTAGCTGATACAATGGAGTTGTTACCTTTTATTGATGCATGAAAGCATTGGCTACCATGTTGGCAGTTCTTGAAAAAGAAACAATCATACATCATAACTGTTCCTTTTCCTTCATTCTTGGTGTACATAATACCAGAGCCAGCTGAATTCAGTATTGAAACAGAGAGCATCTTAAAACTAGACACGTTTGTCAATAAGATTCCATTCCCACAGCCAGTGATGGTAAAACCGGCAATGGACACATGCTGGACTGAGTCTAGTGTAAAAGCAGAATATGTAGCATTACCAGAGCATGAAAGAGTAACTTCAGAGTGACGAATAGAAGAATCATTTGACCTGTTCATCTGTCCTTCGTGACCAATAAAAGAAACGCTGTTAAGATTACGAAATAAAAGACTTGAATTCAAAATATGGACACCAGGTAGCAATATAAAAGACATGTCACTACTTTTATTATCATGATAGTGATCATCCATTAGTAACTGGCTATGATACGATAGAGTGTGACAAGTAGCGTTACTTCTATTGTAGCAGTAATCATATGAACCAGAACCTTCTCCAGGAACAGTTGGCAGTACATAATGATGCTTATGATGATTCCTGCAACTGCAGACTGCAATCAAGGCAGAAAGAAGATAGAAAATAGCCAAGAACATTTTCAAATGAGAGAGCTTTGCAATCAAGAGAAGACTACACTATTATACGCTGGAACATTGTGACGTAGAGAATGAAGTAACTTTCAAAGAATCGTCGAGCCTTAACCAGATAACCCAATTAGATAATAACCAAGCCTTTCACAGATATGTCACGCAGCATCACGTAGTAGGACTGTCTATCACATTAGCAGTCATTAGTACTGGAATGATGTGCCCCACATGTGGTGCTGTTATACAATGGAGTGGTCACATAATCACACATTGCCCTTATGTCAGAATACTAGCAGCTTTTAAAAGTATTCATCTCTTTATTAGGAAAGGAATGTGTGTATTGGCATACTAAACAATAAGCATGTAATTCACTTACTACCTATTGGCCATATTTAGGCATTGATATGGAATCTGTTGGCACTATAATGGAAGGATTGGTTACAATGAGTGTAAAATGTTAAACATTTAACAATAGCAATGACTTAACACAACTGTATTCATTTCAATAATAATGTTCGCCTCACTTTAACATAAAATATTATAATTTATAACATTCAGTTTCATCACACATTGAATTAGCATTACAATCTTTTACTGAAACCTCTCTTATGACCCAAAGGCACTAGTCTATAGTAACTGACAGCTAGTAGGATGATAGCCAGTCCTAGTATCCCATCAACAGTTGCTAGTGTAATCTGAGGGCCAGTGGCATCATACACAAAAGTAACAAAGAGAGGACCAACACATCTAGCAAGACTACCAGAAGCTGTTATTAGCCCCATCATTATACCCTGTGAGATAGGTACACAATATCAAGTAAAAGTAAAAGAAGAAATAGACATGTGCAGTAACCAGTGTGTCTGGAGGTGAGTATCAGCAATGTACTACCTGAGTCCCTTGATATCTGCCCTCAGCTTCACCTCAAGCAGATATCTCAGTCCTCAGGTATTACATTACTTATAGACACACACACACACACACACCTCCAGACAGGCTGTACAAGCAGTATCACATACCTGTGGTTTAGGACCAAGGAGTTTAGAGAAGAGTGTGAAGCAATACACAAAAGCTGCAGGATAGCCCAGTGTGAATATAATGGCTCCTATTATGTACTGGGATAAGTACAGCCTAGGCACATGAGTGCACCATTTTAGCTTTGGGTATCTACAGCCAAGAGCCACAGTGGAGCTGTTCTGTGTTATAACATATGATGAGTTTAATGTGTCTATATCTATTAAGAGTATCAATGAATTCATAATGATATTGCCTTACCTATCATTCCTACTTTAGGCAGTTCATTTCCAAGTGGCATAGTTATTAAGAATCCAATGCACATTAGGAAGAGACCAACCATTATACCTGTTCTCTCATCAACACTATTAATAATGTCCGTTAGATTAACAGTAACATGTATCAGAAAATGTAATTAAAATGGAGAATTCTCTCATAGTCACTTTAAATGAAATTTGGGCCTATACTAATACAGTGGACTTCATTCAAATTTTTGAGCAACTTAAAAATTTGTAAAAAATCTAATTTTAATATACATGCATGTATTCATTATTCATTAACATTATTATTAATTATTATTGTTATTTATACTTACCATCTAACGATACATCTTGCACTAAAGAAGTTGATAGCTGATATTATTGACAAAACGCCAAACAACAGATTATTATAAAATACACCCTGCTTCTTTGTCCAAGCAAACTCATCCATACTGTATGGTGTGACAATACTGCAACAAAATATAACAATAGCACATCAATATGTATCAGGAAATTTAATTAAAATTTGTGGTGATTTCGGAGCCATTTTTTAGAAAAAACCATGGGCTATAGCCTTGGGTATTTTTCAGAATTTTGGCGTTTTCTTAAAATGGTCGTAACTCAAAAAATTGAAGTCAGAATCACCTCAAACTTTCTACACAGCATAAGGACATCAATATGTATCAAAAAATGTAATTAAAACTTGGGGTGATTTTGGAGCCATTTTTTAGAAAAAACCATGGGCTATAGCCTTGGGTATTTTTCAGAATTTTGCCGTTTTCTTAAAATGGTCGTAACTCAAAAAATTGAAGTCGGAATCACCTCAAACTTTCTACACAGCATAAGGACATCAATATGTATCAAAAAATGTAATTAAAACTTGGGGTGATTTTGGAGCCATTTTTTAGAAAAAACCATGGGCTATAGCCTTGGGTATTTTTCAGAATTTTGGCGTTTTCTTAAAATGGTCGTAACTCAAAAAATTGAAGTCGGAATCACCTCAAACTTTCTACACAGCATAAGTACATCAATATGTATCAGAAAATGTAATAAAAATTTGGGGTGATTTCGGAGCCATTTTTTGGAAAAAACCATGGGCTATAGCCTTGGGTATTTTTCAGAATTTTGGTATTTTCTTAAAATGGCCGTAACTCAAAAAATTGAAGTCGGAATCAGCTAGAACTTTCTACACAGCATAAGGACATCGATATGTATCAAAAAATATAATAAAAATTGGGGGTGATTTCGGAGCCATTTTTTGAAAAAAAACCATGGGCTATAGCCTTGGGTATTTTTTAAAATTTTAGCGTTTTCTTAAAATGGCTGTAACTCGAAAAATTGAAGTCGGAATTAGCTCAAACTTTCTACATAGCATAAGGACATCGATATGTATCAAAAAATGTAATAAAAATTTGGGGTGATTTCGGAGCCATTTTTTTGAAAAAACCATGGACTATAGCCTTGGGAATTTTTCAGAATTTTGGTATTTTCTTAAAATGGCCGTAACTCAAAAAATTGAAGTCAGAATCAGCTAGAACTTTCTACACAGCATAAGGACATCGATATGTATCAAAAAATATAATAAAAATTTGGGGTAATTTCAGAGCCATTTTTTTGAAAAAACCATGGGCTATAGCCTTGGGTATTTTTAAAGAAAGAGACTCATTACAATTACAATGTACACCTCACGTTTCGTATAATGAGAATGCAAACAATATTGCAAAGAAAAGGACTATAAGGACAGCTGCTCCGATACGATCATGTTTAAGTGATTGTGACTCTTGATCAGAATTAATGGCCGGGGTACCTAGACTTAATGAACGTTCATCATCACTATCTGTAAAGGAAGAACAATTAATAGTAATAAAATATAATATTTACATGTATGTCTATTATGTCATTTTAAAAACAGATATCACATTCAATATTCAAATGTTTAAATCTTCAAATATTCAAATGTTGAATGCAATAGCTTACTAATAGAGATAGGTTTGGTCAATACTATTGTGTTGCTCTTCTTTCTTTTTGGTGTGATCCTGTACTCTTTAAAGAAAAAGACCAGTAGTATCATATTAATGATAGCTAATAGTGCACTGAGATATGCTGGTCCAGTATACATGTCAAAGTGAAGATTGATCTTTGGTATTACATACCCTTCACTGCCCAGTGGTACAAAAGCAAGACCAAGTACTACAATAAAATAATAAATAAGTAAGTATTATTAACATCACTGATACTGATCTAAGATCACTGATACTGGTCAGTGATTGCTGATATAAATTTTATGGGAATTAAAAATTTATTGGTTAACAGTTTGATTTGAATCAATCCACAAAACTTTAAACCCAAGACAATACCAGAAATGCCAGTGTATTACACCTTACCTGGTCCTACGATAAACCCAATGGCTGTGGCTGCACCAATAATACCAAAGACACCTGCTTTCTCAATGTTGGTAGTAGCTGAGGAAGCATAGGAACGGACTACTGCTGACATACCTAATAATAATAATAATAATAATAACAATCTGATAAAACTATATCAATTATTTGGAGCTAATTAGCTGACTAATTGCCAAAAAATTTGGAAACAAATCATAAAAATGGCATTCATTAAAACCACCTTTATAATACATAAACACACACACAACATCAGACAGTAGTAGTACAGTACCTGCTCCAGCTCCAATCAAACCCCTCGATACCAATAGCACTATTTTACCAACAGTAGGAGAGAATACAACAGCATAGCAATAAAGAATATTAAATACAACTGTCATCATGAGCCCAGTCTGTAGGGGAACCATGGCGTGTTGGTAATCGGACCATAGTCCGAACAATGGTGACGATAATAATTGACCGAGGCTATATATGGCAACAATGTATCCGAGAAATGATGTAGAGGAAGTATTATTAGTAATCTAAGAATAGAAGATAAAAATAGTAACAAATTGTATCATGTCTAAAAATAGACACACATAATGTGTGTTTAGCCTCTATAATAACATAAAAATATTAGAGTTTATTTATGAAAATAGAGACACCTTTATAATAAGAATACAACAAAATATATAAAGGAGCATTATACAGTAACTGGATATTATCATAATCTGTAATGTGATATAGTGACTATCAATACTTACCTTTTGTAGATAAGGATAAATTGAAGATATCACTACAGAGAACGCTAAAAAAGAAATTATAATAAATTTTTGACCATTGGTCTAAAATACAATGTACATAAATCACTTAAATATTTAGTTATACAGTATTGTTTGGTACACCAATGATGTGTTTACTCAACACTGTATAATAAAATAAAATAAACAGGATCAATCTACCACCCACTCAAAGCGATCAGACATCACTTACTGACAGAGCCAAGGAACATTGTGAAGTAAAGGACATACAGAGATATCCATCTTCCCTTGCTTTCCTTTACTTTTAATGGAACATCATCCGCTCTAGTCAGTCCAGTCACGTCAACAACGCTCTCGCTTTAAAGAAGAACAAGGACAAGGCTAAGGACGGTTGACTCTCGGCAACTTACCTCAGGTTGACACTGTGATTGGTGGATCCATTGGCGTATCCATTGCTATGAATATACAGTATATAGGTAGCAGTAAAATAGCATGCTAACCTTTCCCTTCTTTTTGGAAGTAGTGGATCAGTTTCTGACATCGCTGTAGGCTTTGCTATGTTGACAATGAAATTACTGCAAAACACACCTTTTAAATAGAAGACCACACCTCTAAAATGATGATCTATGATGCATTGTGGAACTAATCATTGTAATGACACAATTGAGTCCATTCATGATGGAGTGTATCTTCCTTGCTTTCACCAGTCTTGCTACAATCTCATAGTCCTGATTCACCTCATATGATTCATTAATCAGCACTAAAATATCATGACTCATAGCTATGGCATGTCATGTATGATCTATGACTGATTGCC